GGCCCAGTTTGAATAAATCCACTATTATTTGCAGTATATTACAAAAGAGGGATGATGTAGTATTGAAATGTACATCATATTGCATGGTGGGAATAGGAAGAATTAGTATTGAAATGTTCATTTAGTCCGCAGAATCATAGTCGGTGGGCGACGGAGGTCGAAAAGACCGTAGTTTGGTGACGGTGGTCAAAAGGACCGTTGTCGCCAGGAGACAGGGATTATAAAGATCGTTGTATGGCAATGGAGGCCGAGGACCGTAGTCGGTGACCGAGGTCGAAAGGACCATAATATGCGATAGAGGTTGGAAGCATCATAGTTAACAAGAGATTGGGGTCAGAAAGACAATTGTCTAGCGATGGAGCTTGGAAGGATCATAGTAGGCGACGGAGGTCGGAAGGACCATAGTCGGCAAGAGATAAGGGTTAGAAAGACCATTGTCTAGCGATGGAAGTCGAAAGGATCGTAGTCGACAACATATAGGGGTTAGAAAAATTGTTGCATAACGATGGAGGTCAGAAGGACCATAGTAGGTGACAGAGGTCAAAAGGATAGTAATCGAAAGGCGAAAAGGATCAGAAAGACCGTTGTCTGGCGATTGAGGTCGGAAGGACCGTAGTAGGCATGAGACAAGGGTCAGAAAGACTATTGCATGGTGATGGAGGTCAGAAGGACCGTATGAGGTGATGGAGGTCAGAAGAACTGTAGTCGGCAGTAAACAAGGGTTAGGTAGTGGTTCGGCGAAACTCCAAGAGTCAGGTGGTGATCCGGTGGAACTCCGGGCGTCAGGTGACAACCCGGCAGAACTCCGGGCGTTAGGTTGTGGCTCGGTGGAACTTTAGGAATTAGGTGGTGGCCCAGTGGAACTCCGGGCATCAGGTGGTGGTCCGGCGGAACTCCAAGAATCATATGTTGGTCCGGTGGAACTTCTAACAACAGGTAGTGGTGCGGTGGAACTCCGTGCGTCAGGCAACTGCCTGATGGTACTTTGGGCATCAGGTGGCGGCCAGATGGAACTTCGCGTGTCAAGTGGTGGCCCGATGGAACTCCGTGTGGTGGTTAAGGAGGAGCTAAGGGTCAAGAGCAATATATGATCTCTCTCTCTCTCTCTCTCTCTCTCTCTCTTGCTCTCTTACTTTGGGTCCCTTTTCAAGAGGAAGGAATGGTCTATTTATAAATTTCCTAGTAGCATGACCCATAAAAAAAGAGGAAGATCAAGGGTAAATATGGAGTGGTTTAGATGGACCGCCGATATTGAATCCCTTGATTGTGGACCGTTTGCTGGGGATCTGAATGTTTTAGTGATATCAGAATTCAATGATCTTGGGCTTGTTGGATTCGTCTCGTCGAGCCGCTCGATTCTACTATAAACATGACACATTTGGAAACAATTTGGTAATCTAAATTGTGGTTCAAATCTTCCAACAGTGCTTTAGGCCCTTGGTTTGGACCCGTTTGGGCTCGGATTGAGTCTAATTTGGTGTCATTGGGTTTATCTTACCTGCTTCTTAGTGTTATAAGTAGAGATTTGAGTTTTCTATAAAGGTGGGCAAAATTAATAAAACTTTAGTTTTGCTTTCCTAAAAAAATATGTTCTCTCTCTCTAAGTAGAAGCATTCAAGAAGCATATTCTCTCTCTCTAACATTAATGATGATGCTGAATCACAATATTACTATTAGCATGTTGGCCTAATTAAAACTATATATTTTTTCTGCAACATCAAGAAAAACGTGAGGGAAAATCAATAAATGATGGTTGGAAATAAATTAATAATGGTATCTCCAATATGTGAAAGTGATGCAACATTTTGAAGGTTCGATGTCACGAATACAAAAGAGTTGGCGAATAAAAAATTTGACTTTCTAATCATTTGTGATAATATTTGAAGTGTCTGTCATATTTTACAATCATTGAAAAATGGTAATGATTTAGCATAGTTTCCGAATAAATTTATTTGCCTCAAAGAGAAAAAATAAATGTTTGTGCAAGCACAAAAATACTCTCTAGGTTTATGGATCAATTTAGGGCTGAAAAAAATAAAGTTAAAAAACTTTTATTTTTGAGAAATTATTATGTGTGATCACCAGGTCATCCGGAGACCAATCAAGATGCATTACATCATTTGAAACACATTGGTACACATTAACGGTATGATACATGATAAATTAGTGATGTGGCGCATCTTGATTGACTTCTAGACGAGAACCGGTGACCGCACGTAATAATTTCGCTCCATTTTATCGTGAAAAGCTCTATTGAAAGCAATCTGATGCTATGAAAGGCTCGTGATTTCATCACTTTCAGAGGTTACAATAACTTATAGAAGTTCTTATTTTCAAACATACAAGTCAGAGTACATCAGTATTAGTTGAAGATAGATTCAAACACCTCTTGTAAGAGGAGTTTCAAGAGTGTTAAAGCTGGCCCAACGAGATCATTCAGGTGGATTCATGGCGCTTCAATGCATGCAATTTATTTTCATTTTATTCATCTTATCGAACAACACTATCTCAATTATAAATTTGTTAAAATTAGAGTTCATATTTCTAATGTAATAATTTGTGAAGTTTTGAATTCAAATTTAAACATTCTCTACAATAACAACAACAACAAGCTTTTATCCTACCATATAGGGTCGGTACTTCAAACATTCCCTGAAACCGAAAAATCATATAAAAAAAACAAATAATATAAACTCTTTTAGAAAAATTTTCAATAAAATTTGGTTCTTTAAAAGTCATTAACTTCTCTACATCATGCTTCTTAATATATTTGACTTGATTCTAATGAAATTGTAATGCAATATTATCAGAAAATATAAAATATAATGCAAATTTGTAATTAATAGTTAATTTATCAATTATAAAACAAATTTTGCTTTGAATTTTGTCTCACATACATTTTTTTTTTTTTTTATTTAATTATTCATGTAAAAAATTTTCCCATCTTAAAAAAATAAAGTATATATATATAAAATTTAAGTGAGTATATGTTTACAATTTTTCTATGCATACAAACAAAAAAATCATTAAATATAAAGCAATTGCCAATTTGAAAATTAATATAAAAAATTCTTAGAGTTTAAAGTAGAGCATCTAATAAAGTAAACTATCAATTCATTAGGTGTTATGTTGTTTCATTAAAGTATGCAAGTAACTTAAATAAACGAGCAAACTACATAGAAAATTTAATATTTTTTCTTGCGTAGTATCATTAGTTTACAGCAGTGCTGAAAGCAACTGTTTCATGCTTCTTTTATGGGAAGACAGCTTATTTAAGCTATTGTCCACTACTGATATGAATAAAAGTGATTCAAAGTTCCAAATAATTTTAAATATTTTGATTATTTTTTAATTAAGTTTTAAGAAGAAATTATGATCTTATGCGCGATAGAAAGACTATGACTTCGTTTAGGAAAACTTTCTTGTTGTTTTTAACAACTTTTTAGTACAAAACAACTTTTTAGTACAAAAATTTTGTACTAAAAAATTATCTTTTGAAAGCAATAAATAAGCTGTCCCAAACAAAGTCTATATTTGAAATATTATTTATTGAATTGAATAATGCATTGAAGCAAAGAGTGTCTGCATATAGATAGTAAAATAAAGTAAAAAGAAAAAAACATTCTTAATAATGAGAATATATTATAATAAAAATGACTATAAAATATAGATCCCTATTATGTATATTAGGGACACATTAAATATTTATATAATAATACTTAATTTTAATTAAAGAGTTTGCCCATCAACAAATAAAATATAAACAATGGTTAGAATTCATGAACAAGTTCAATCGACAAAGAAAAAAAAACTAGCTAGGAGTGTTACACCATTGTTAACACATTAGGGCAAAATATTAGTGAGACTCAACACTTACCACTAAAAATAAATATCTCTTCTTTACAACACTAATTTTATTTTTTATGCCTTCTTAAAATTCTATGTATTTTATTTTATATTAGAATTAAAAGTTAATGTTTTTAATATATTGTCAAAATGCCTTCATAATAAATAAGAGTCAACAATATTTTAATTTAAATGTTACCTTTAAATAACATAAAATATATTTTCATGTCTTATATATATTAACTTATTAAAATATAATAATCAAAATATGCTAAAGCATAACATTTTATTTTAAAAAGGCAATTTTTTTTTGGAAAATTATATGGGATTTCCCCACTTGCATTGAATGAAAAAACCATAGAAAAACCTCCACAGGCTCACAGTAGAGTTAGAGGGCACAAAGGCAATGGAAGTAGGGAATAATTCAGCCAATGAATTTCTATTATACCAGGTATCTCACCAAAGGGCAATCTTGCTGCCATCAGGCAATCTTAAAAGGAAAATTGGATTTAATCAAAGCAAACACCTTGACCAATGTTTCCAAAAGGCAGAGGTTTTCCGAGAGAAAAGGGTTCCAAAAAGAGATACAAGTGTTTTTGAGCCAGAGTTAGAAGAGAGATATCTTCAAATCAGAGAAGAGGAATAAGCATGAATTAAAGCAGAAATAGAGGACCAAAATTCTTAGGAAAACATATATTATTCTAGGAGACAAAGTGAAGCTTCTTACCATGAATATCCCCATGAAAAATGAATATGTCACAACACTTGTTATTGAATTTACAACATGATTTAGATATAACAGACCTCCTAATCCAGTACACAATAGATTTCCAGATACTAAATTTGATAAATTGAATTCTCCCAGCAAAACATAAAAACTTGGCTTTCCAACCCTCAAGCATATTAGATATTTTATACAACAAAAGAGAGAAATCAAACACTTTAGGCCTACTGGAGGTAAAATCAAATAGTGATACGACAAAATCAAATAATGAAAAGATCAGCATGTAGCGGAAAAGCCTTCGGAGGCAAAATCCTTCGTGGCAAAATCAAATCATGAAAAGTCCAACAAGTAGGGAAAAAGCCTTCGAACAAACTCGAAATAAAAATAGAGAAAGACTTGGAAAAAACATCTTTTTTTAAGAACAATGTTCTTGACATCATCAACTTTAATATTCTTTCTCAGCGTTTTTGGAAATTATCAAGTAACAACTTTTTTACCCATAAAATACATCATGATCTGAGAAAAATAATTATTGCTTAATTATATATCTATTTGTATATACTTTTTTTTAATCACTCTTTTTTGAATAATGAAAAGGATAGAAAGAAGAAAGAAAATAGTCACTACTTCACATTTCTCATATTAAAAAAAAAAAAAAAAAAAACTGTTTGATGAGACATTGATATTTCAATAACCCAAATGACGGTAAGAAAATGAGCCAAAATCTGAATCCATGAGGTCTTTACATCGCCAGCCAATGCAAACCAGACCAGAGCAGCCAATGTAGTCATCAAGTGGCTATATCATCAACCTCAGAATTAAACACAAAACTAGGAAATGTGGTTGTTATGTCCCTGCATGCATCATTACAATAAAATGCACCATCAGTAGATTGCAGACAAAAGGAGAGCTTTAATAATGAGAAAAGAGTAATGAAACCAATTCTAACTAACAAATTTCAAAATATCCTCGGTTTCTTTTTAGAAACTGTACAGCAGATGATGGAATGCGTCAACAAGAATAATCAATAACTCAAAACAAGTTACAACATTATTATTTGTTAGGAAGCATGAATCAAACTGGGATTAGAAATTAGAATTAGGTCAGTCAACGCAAAATTTAAGTCAATGGGTGAATATCAACCACTAAGTCTTTGTTTGGGACGGTTTTTTTTCTGCTTCTTAAAACAGCTTTTTAATAAAGAAATTTTAATTTTTGTAATAGCAAGCTGCTTTAAGAACTAATAAGAAAGTCGTTCCAAACGAAGCCTAAGACTTCGTTTGGGACGGCTTTCTTACTGCTTCTTAAAACAGCTTTTTAGTATAAAAAATTAATTTTTATACTAAAAAACTGTTTTAAGAAGTAGTAAGAAAGCCGTCCCAAACAAAACCTAAATCTCTCTCCATTAACATATTTTTCAACTATCTAGCTTGAGATCAAACTCAAAGTAATACATTCCTTTAACATCATTTCATATAAATAACATATAACAAGAAGAAAATGTATAGTGAGTTGAAGATAATTTGGGCTGTGCATCATCCGAGCATCTTGATTCATCGCTCACATTAATTGTCAGAGTATAGCAGCAAATACTGAATCATTTTTCAGAAGCTAAAGTTAAAAATTAATAATATTTATTAAGTGTCTATCAAATTTAATGCTAAATTTGGGTGAATACTCGTAAGGAAATATAAAGAAAAAGGCCTATTAGTCGAACATTTCTGACGGAATTTGAATAAGGAATGAGGTGTCATCCTGTAACTAGTCGATGAAAAAGAAAAAAAAAAAAGTGATCATCTTTAGACACTTCAATTCAGCTTAAAATGCTTCCGAAGCTCTAACAATCCTCAACATTGAATAATATGCGCAAAGGAATTCTAAAAGCCTTAAACTTTGTGACAGAAAAGCCTATGAAAAACATAGATGCCATAATGATTGCGCGTTGATGCGTAAATTTCATTTTGAAGAGCTTTTCCTTTAAACCTATCAGGCTTTTTTGCCTTTTTAGTCTCTGTTAATTATATTTATTTGCAAAAAATATTCAAAGGTTTTTCAGAGGCTTACTTGCATGTAATCGAGATGCAATTGAAGGCTTCGCCAGCTACTCCTAGGGCTGATTGGAAAGGGAAGAAAGTTCACGAGGAGGATAATGAAGTGGAGAGTGTTTTCCTTCAAGAATCACATGAAGGATACTATGAGTTCTTGTGATGCCTTTCAGCCTCACAAATGCCCCTGCCACTTTCCAGTCACTTATGAACAGAGTGTTCCAGCCATACCTCCGAAGGTTTGTCCTAGTATTTTTTGATGATATTTTGATATTTAGCAGGATAGAGGCAGAACGTTGAGAGCACTTGAAGATTGTCATGGAGAAATTAAGTGAGTATCAGCTGTTTTCCAATTGGAAAAGTGCACCTTCCCGAAGTTAAAGACGATGATGAAAATTTGAAAAAAGATAATACTCCCTTTAAAGACGACGATGACTAGTGTACCTGTGCTACCACTTCCATATTTTAGGAGACCCTTTGTAGTAGAGACGAAGGCATCAAGTTATGGGCTAGGAGAAGTAATCATGCAAGATCACAAGCCTATTGCATAATTCAACCAGGTGCTCACAACTAGGGCAATGCGCAAATCGGTGTATGAGCGGGAGTTAATGGCGATCGTCTTGGCTATTCAGAAATGACGTCCTTATCTGCTAGAGAGACATTGCATAGCAAGACAAATTAGAGAAGCCTTAAGTTTTAGTTGGAGTAGTGGATGCTCACTGAGGAGTACCAAAAATGGCTATCCAAGTTACTTGGATATGATTTTGAGATTCAATGTCGGCCAATACTAGAAAATAAGGCAACATATGCCTTGTCCAGGAGAGGCGAGAAACCTCCGATTTTGTCAGTACCATTGATGGTAGATTGGGAGGCATTAAGACATGAGAATGAGCAGAATGAAGAGTTGAGAAATATCAGGGAGGAGTTGCTGTAGGATCCAGACAAATATTGTACCATGGGAGGTTTATGTTACCTCAAACCTCGAGGTATATTCCCAAACTACTGCAAGAGTTCCATGGCAGTGTGATAGGAGGGCACTCTGGAGTTCAAAAGGCATATAGTCCACTATCAGCGAAGTTATATTGGATAGGGATGCATCACAATGTAGAGAATTGGGTAGCCAAATATGATGTGTGTCAAAGGCATAAGTACTTAGCCATGACGCCAGCAGGGTTATTATAACCCTTAGCCATATCGAAGAGGGTGTGGGAGGAAGTGACAATGGACTTCATCAAAGGGCTACCACGATCGAAAGGATTTTTGGTGATCGTGGTAGTAGTGGACCGTCTAAGCAAATATGCATATTTCATCCCTCTGAAGTACCCTTACACCACAGTTACAGTGGCTACTATTTTCATTCAAAAAGTGATACGTTTGCATGGATTCCCAAAAACCATTGTGTAAGACAGGGATAAGGTGTTCCTTAGCCACCTTTGGAAGGAGCTATTTTGTTTATAGGGGAAGGTATTGAAGCAAAGTACAGTCTACCACCCTCAGACAGATGGTCAGATAGAAGTGGTCAACCGGAGTGTAGAGACCTACTTGAGATGCTTTGTATCAAACACACCAAAGAGTTGGGCTAGGTGGATTGCGTGGATAGAATATTGGTACAACACTTTGTACCACTCAGCAGCAAAGACCATTCCCTTCAGGATTCTCTATGGGAGAGACCCATCTCACTTGATTCATTACAGGGGCAGCACTCCACCAGTGTCCGGTGTAGAGCAGTACTTAGAGGAGAGGGGCAGGGTACTAGCAGAGCTTAAGGAGCATTTGTTGAGAGCCCAATTGATCATGAAAATGAAGGCGGATAGGCAGAAGAGAGGTAAATTTTGAACCAAGAGACAGTTTATTGAAAACTGAGGCCCTACAGATAGAAAACATTAGACAGGAGGAATAAAAAAACTATCCCCATGATATTTTGGGCCTTATGCGAACTTGTAGTGCATAGGAGCAGCAGCCTATCGATTAAAGCTACCACCATCCTCAACTTTGCACCCAATCTTTCATGTATCACAGCTGAGGAAGGCGATAGGGTAACATGCACCATCATCATAACCCCCAACTTTGACAGAAGACATGGAGGTTATGTTAGAACCCTTAGAAATAGCAGGTGTGCACAAGGGGGAGACAGGGACACAGGAGGTGCTAATTATGTGGAAAGACCTGCCAGAGCATGATGCCACTTGGAAGTCATACGAGATAATCAAGAGACAATTCCCAACCTTCCACCTTGAGGACAAGATATATTTTTGGGAGAGGAGTATTGTTACGATCAGTCCAGTAGGGTCGATCCTGTAGTCGACCAAGCAGCAAGGGGGCCGACCTGCTACAAGGGGCGGATCATTAGAAATTTCATCCCCCCCTGTGGGGCCCAGCAAACCAATTATTCCATATGCTAGAAGGAGGATTAAGGAATTAATGAAGGGAATTTGAATTCAAAATAGGGAGGGAATTAATTAAGGCAAGAGAGGTCTTTTAGGGCTAAATTGGGGGGAAGAGTAGGGGCTTATATAGGGATTATTATTTTATATTAAGGTTATGTTTTGATTGAGTTTTTCTGGTGTATTTTTTCAGTGAGGGCTTCCTAGTGGCGTATAGGTTGATCGGGAGAGACAATCTACCTCTCTAATTGTAGATCACTTATATCCTTTGTTTCTTGATAAGTTATTAATCAAAATCAGTCAATTATTCCTCCCAAATCTGCTGTTTTTGCTGTTTTTCTGTGAATTTCCTGCTATTACTTGTTGAATTTGACTCCAAGGCGTATCATATTCCAAGGGATTTCTAGGTTGGTTTGGCGTTGTCTTGTGCATGTTTACAATTTGCTGAATTATTTTGCTCTTAGTGGCATTTGACTTTCATCTGCGAGCTGCTTGTTTACCTTATTTGGAACTATTTAAATATATTTTACCCTGTAGACTCTTCTCGTGTCATCCCTAAAAACTAGCTACAACATTATAAGTCTACTTCACCTGCAAAAAGTCAACAGTATTCAAGTCAAAAATATTTTCTGAAATGGATGTCCATCATATTGAAACCTCACTTATAAATTAGTACACTGGTCGCGTTCAGGTGGTAACTGTTTCACAGGTTCCAGTTTTAAGCTATAATAATATGTTTTTACAAATCTGTATTTTCAGTAGTAATTGTATTTCTTCACCAAAATGAAATCAGTCTATAGATGCTTGCATAAATTAGCCAGAAATGTCTCTGGAAAATTACATGCTTTATCATTTGACAACTTAAATCTTTTTCTAAGATTATATTCTAAGATTCTATATAACATTTAGCAGGTTTTTTCATCAGCATTCCACAAAGGAAAAACTTCAACTGGTATTTCCTTACCAAACCCACCACTAATTGGGTGTTCTTTCCACTTCTTTTTATTTTACTCTAAAGCAAGATGTCCACATCGTACATGACTTATTTCAAAGACACCGCAACTTCCATAAGTACAATAATCATCACAACTGCAAGATGCATGAGTCGGACATCCCTAGAATCTAAATGAAATTGACAGAAGCTTCCCGCCTTTACTTATGGGGATTGAACTTACTTGAGATATTGAAGAGTCATAATCTTCATCAATGATGGGTTGCGAGAAACAAAATTTTGCCAATCTGATTTATCTATTCTTCCATCATGATTCACATCCGAGTCAACAAATGTCTGTTCAAAATGCAGAAGATTTCTAAATGAAGAGATGATTCATCAATGGAAAATAAATTGCAAAGTATATGGCTAATAAAGTTAGAAGCATTAGTCGCCAAAAACAGACCTTGTCTAATATGAGCTCAACAGTTTCATCTGATAATTTCATGTCAGACTCAGAAAGAAGCGCAATTAACATCTGTTTTACCTGCAAAATTAGATCATTCTATTTCATATAGGCAATCAAAATCAAATAAAAATAAACTTGAATAAATAAGACGAGGAAAACTAACAAAAAATGGCATGTGACGAAGCAAGACAAATATTATCTATTATTAAGTTATATTGCATGTTCCAATTCCAATATTATCTATTAAATTCCCAAGACCTAAAAATGTATTTCATCATCTTTGAAACTACTTATGCCCCTCTTAAGTCTCATAGTCAACAGCTAAATCAATATTCTTTGTTTGAAATTTGAATTTCGCTTAACACTTTTTTTTTGTTTAAGTAATTGATGCATGGAACAACGGATGACTAAAGATTATGCAAGATATTCGACAATTGCTAAAGTTGCATTTCGATTCTGCTATAATAAATCTGGTAAAATTTAAATCATCAAACTGCTTATCCAGCAACATGTTGCATCTTAATTACCCTGCACTCATTCCCACAGAGGAAGTGTCTATCACATTTTTGTGCAAATCTGTTTGCAAACTTCAAACAAATTAGCTTTGGACAAACAATCTTCTTAACCCTTCCATCTAAATTCCATCTCCCTCCCAGCACACAACTTCTAGCCTTCTTTGTAGATACCCGAACAACTCAAGTTATTTTCTACAATCTTTTATTAGATAGTTGCCACTTTCCTACTGTCTAATATAATAATTTCACTTCTTCATTTTATCACATATCCATCTCAACATTTTCATTTCAATCATCTTAAAATTGGCTATGAATGACTTCTTTATTGCCCAAAATTAGAATCCACAACATTCTGATCTAATTATAGTTATAAAATATATCTATAATTATTGTATTTTTATTCATACAAAAAGAAATAAGATATCTATTCAAGAAAAGACATGAAATCCACGTCAATGTAAAAATGTAAACTTTCTGAATATCATAAAGAACAGGCAAGTTGATTGAAGCATTTCCAATTCACCTCTTTCCTCTCAATAAAACCATTACCATCCAAATCATAAAGCTTGAATGAAACTGCAAAATTAAATAACAGATTAGAAACAGGAATGAAGCAGCATCCAATGATGTAAGGAAAGGCTAATGATACCAACTTACAGTTAATTTTATCCTCTAGGGGAGCATTTGGGTGAAATACATTTAGTGATCGAACAAAGTCGCCAAAATCAATAACACCCTTTTGCTTCACATCAAATAGGTCAAATATCTGCATAATAGGCATTTAATATTAGTTAATGCATTAAATGTCGCAAAAAATAGTCCAAAACAAGTATCAAATCTATACGCTTGATTCAGATTAAAAACTTCAATATATGCTAAATATATTGAGAAAGACTTGATTATAAAATATTAGAAATGATTTTTCTTTATTAGATTTAGATGAGAATTTGACTCTTAACATGATACAATGGAGAAAAAGGATTCATGTAGCTGACCCCAAATAATGGGATAAAAATTTGTTGTTGTTGTTGTATATGATAAATAAAAGGTAACAAATAAAAATACCGAGACTTCACAAAGCTGAACATATGTATAAAGTTGGGCCAACTACCATGCATAGGAAATTTTTATTCTAATGTACCGAGCATACCAATAAAAAGCACATATTCTGATGTGTACAAAAATGAATGACATCAACTTTGGATTTGAATGTTCTATAAATCATTAAAGCTGATATTAAGTAATATATACAAAATATTTTGAAAAACTTCAATGCTAGCATCACTATCACTATCACACCGCAGCAATTTCACATACCAGTCTTGGAAACCATTATTTGCTATTCTGTTCAAGTGTTGTACTTAGGGTGAACTGTAGAATTGGTAAACCCTTCATTAAAAACATGTTAATTAGCTCTACTATTTGCCTTCTAATATTTCACACATGTTACTTGTACGCCTCTTTATAAATATGTTTATCTAAACTCTAATCCATTTGCCGAAGGAATCCATAAAGTTCTTAGAAAAAGCTTCAAAATGACATCAAGGCACACAAATACTTCAAACCTCACACAATCCAAGTCAAAGACGGCTTATCCAATTATGGTATGCACAAAGTGTTGGGATTATCAAGTGATGGAATTTTCAAGAATATAAAATCACAAGCTGTTGACCACAGGCAGCCAACATCAGAGCAAGCCACTATATAACGATCACAGAGCAGCCAACATCACATCATCCTTGCAACAATATATATATATATATCAACTCAATTGTTCAAATATAACGACTTAATTGTCCCTTTCACCCACGATCCTTAACACATGACTTCCACATCAATTCTCGTAGCACTGCATATTGTCGTTCAACTCATAATATAAGGGATGATCATGCTTCCCAAATATCTCGATGAATCCTCGCAGTGTTGCAGTCCACATCACCAAGGAAAGAGGGAAAGAAACCACAATTGTAGAACTCCATGTCATAGCCATGGATCAAAAAGCCAATCTTCTCTCACTTGCACATTCTCAATATCACACTCTTTCTCGCTCACATTCTCACTTTGGTAATCCTCTAGCCGTGATTTTCCCTCCGAGGCCTCACTCACATGTCTTACCTACCTTCTGCACCTTGCCCTTATCACACTAACTCATCCTTCCCTAAGCTTCCTCTCCAAGGTCCATCCAGCTCCCAATCTATTCCACTCTTCTCTCGGTAAAACTTGTATAGAAAACTGGAATCATCTCCCCTCTCTCTATATCTCTTATGTGTTCTATGGGATTCATGCCCAACTCTCAATTTCCCCCCAAATGAACTTGGCACTTGACCCGATCTAACAACAATATCCATGCCTTTTGACTTCATCATTTGATCTTCTGCCTTTTAAACTCCTCTACACACATTAGCATAGATATAAATTTAGTATTATCTATCAAAAAACACCTCGTCCGCAAATGAAGAGTAGAACAAGTACTCAATCTTCGATTTGGCTAAATTAAAAGCCAGCATGGTCAATCTTGGACTTGGTTGTGTTTTGAAGATTAACCCTTTTATTGTTAATCTTTGATCTGGCATGAGGACTCAGCTCTCTTCGTTGATTTTTGGTCCAAACAAGGAGTGTTCATTTGCTAAGGATCAGGCATGAACAAAATTTCTATGCGTCTCTAAAATCATTGTCAAATGACGATCATCGTGATCATTGAGCGAAACTAAGGTAGTTGATGCATTTGATCGCTCTTATCACACGTGGAGGAGAATTGGTTGTCATTGTCATAAAAATATAACAATAAAAATAAGAAAATAAAATAATCTATAATAAAAAAATATACCAAATAATAATAATTCCAAAAAAGGAAAAATATAATCACTGAAGATCTATTAATATTTGTTCTGACTAAAATAAATACCTATGTCATTAATCTTTAATCAGATCCAGTTTCGAAGATCACCCCTCTGCGTTTGATCTTTGTTCTAGCACAAGGACTTTCCTCCATTTGTTGATCTTTGTTCTAGCACAAGGTCTTTCCTCCATTTGTTGATCTTTGGTCCAGATTAGAGAATGATTGCTCTCTTGTCAACAAATTATGTCAATGAAACTTAACGTAGTTTTTTGGGTTATCATCAAGAGGTGCATGATGGAATCATCATGTAACTTTGATATTATCAGCATGCTCAAGACATTGTTATAATTATTGGTGAAACTAATCTTCATTAAAGTCATCAAAATTTCCAAGCAGAAAGTGAACAAAAACAAAACCCAAAAATTTCTGACCTGCAAAATAGCAAGACATGCAATTATAATGATCTAAACCAAGTAGGAAAACATAAGATTTGAATAATTTGTTAAAAGAGAAAATTATCCAATGCAACACATCAAAAGATATGTTGGATGCAACGAGCACTTATCTAAAATGTGCACATATGCAACAACCGTCTATTCAACATTTCACCTTGGTTGAAAAAAAAAAAAGCATTCAAAGTTGGGAAAGGCCCACTGTTTTAATAACAAAAGATTATTTCATCCAAGTCCATTACAAATAATCTCACAAATTTATTAATCAGGTTCCCTAACCTATATGATGAGGTTATAAGACTTACCAATCAAGTTGCCTTGCCTAAAGAGCAAGGTTGTAAGGCCCACCCGCCATTCAGATCGCCATGCCGAGAGGGCAAGATTGTAAGACCCATCATATGAATCATCTTGTCTAAAAGACAAATTATATGGCCCGTTTTTAGAGGTTATTCTAAATTATACAAACTAGATGTATGTTAGGCTCTTCTTAAACATGCAATTATAAGTCCCAATCAATTAGGACACTCTATCAGCTAGCACTGTAGGTCCCAAAACTCTCATCAAAGTTTAGAATGATAATTAAAATTAAGTCCTCTATATGAGCCTTTCCAAGGATAGAAGCCTCAACCCCATTCACTGGGTCGGCATAAGGCCAAAAAACCAATTAAATCAAAACTTGGGTCATTCCAAAGATGTAAGTACCAACCCAAAATCTAGAGCATCTTTTCCATCAATCACTTTTAAAACTAAAACCAGCATCCACCTTAAATGCACTTATTTGAGTCAAACTGAAACTAGTAAGTAGTTGTGTCATGGCATAGTTTTAAGCTCTTGTTAGTCATGCTAGGTACCTTAAACCACAAGTGGTCATGTTATGCATCTCTAAAATATTCAATAAAAATTATATGAAAAGCCATTAACCAATGAACGAGTTGATGCTTATCTCGAAAGCACGCAAAAGAGCATTTTCAACATGTATATATACTTGCACTTTGGCAATCCATGATTGCTATTTATGCTTGCTAGATGTTATAGCTCAAAGTCCTCTAACATTGGCAAAACAAATTCATTAGCATACTAGATATGAGAAAACCAAGGGAATCTAATTAGATTTTCCTCCATCAAACCCTCAATAATTAAATTCCAACATAAATATTATATGTAAGATTAAAATTTGAGTCTAAACAACCTCCTTAATTGAGAATACTTCTTATGAAAGAGATGGATAACTAACTCTGAGGGTTTGCACTCATTAGAAGTTTTGAACCACGATCTAAATTAACAATGGCCTAGCATAAAAAGAAATATGTTTAAACTAAACTAATATATCTCAAGAAAAACGATTACTAAGTTCTCTCATCACAACAAGAATACTCAATAGTAGCCGTTCCTGAGCGATCGAATTTCTAGCGACTCCGCAAGAAAAATTATCTGAATGTTACATTGCTATTATTGTTATTGAGGCTGCTCAAATAGAGCCTCGCTACTTTTAAGACTTTCAATTGCCATGGCCTGGAAGACAAAGAAGAGAGATTTCAAGTAACTAAATATACACCTGTTAGCACTCAGCAATTCTACAATCAACCATGTAGCTCTCCTAAAGTTATATTTTGATACCAAAAAGGCATAACATTAAGGCTTCCTCCTCCAACACATTATTAGTGAGTAGGAGATACTATAACGACAATACTACAGAACATTCTAAGGACATAGATCATATGATGGTTAAGGTTGTTCTTAGGTCGAACATTTTTTTTTTAATTTTTTTTAATTTATTTTTTATTTTGTATTTTTTATGTTCTTTAGGTCGAACATACACACAAACAAACTCGCCTATAGGGTTTATGACCATTCAAAAGGATGAAATATAGCTTTTACTTCACAAGGAGAGGGACAGTCTCAAGATAGCTAGGGCTAGCCGTTAAAAAAAATTGAACCATCCCAACATTACGAGGGAATGGAATGAAGCTAATTATCCTTGTAAGACTAAAATTATTACAAAAACAAAAGCATCATAAACTATGTGTTATGGACCAAGAGATAAATCAGTCATATGCTTGACTCCTTAAAATGAACAACAACATGAACAAACTTTTAGTAAGCTCAATCTGATAAGCAACAGTTAGATGTCAGCTGTCAACTTCTAATCCCCAGGTTTCACTAATTCGAAATCAAAGTAAATAGTACTCAGGCTACTCATCCAAATGCTCCAAGAAGACCACTCACTTATAACAGCATAACCCAAAATTAACTTCACACATCTATTTCTTTCTGAAGAGCCAGAAGAGAATTAAAAAAAAAAATTAGACTTCAATGATCGCAAAAAATAAGAATGCTATAAATTAGCTCAGGATTCACTAATTATTATTTCATGGTTCACCGCATATCTACCAAATAGATTAACTTTTTGAAAAGAAATTTTTGTTTGTATAAAAAATATGCTTAGAAATTTACCAATTTACATAAGCAACTTCTTTATGATTTCATAAACATATCGGGTGGGAATATGATTATATTTTACTTCATTCAGCACAATAGAAGAACAACATAAATACAATTGTACAAAATACAGCTAAAAATTAGTTATTTTATCATTTCCACATATGAGGATTTGACTCCCATATTCATTTCAATTAATAAAACATGAAAATGAAAGCTTCTTCCATTGCATGTAACCTGAGTACAAAAGTAAATGCGAGAGTACAAAAGTAAATGGGCATATAATGAGTGGCAACATACAGTGATTTGAAAACAGCTATCAACCAGTAAACCAAAGGTTACAACCAGACGAGAGATACTTTCTAAAGCTTAAGAGTACATTTTACATGCCAATTCTGGATTAAAAAACCAGGCATAACACAGTTGCGAAAATGCAACCATTATAAAATGCACTTTACAAAACAGAAAGTGAGACGAAATGGAAATATTGAGATGCATCAATAAAGATTTACTAGATAAATCTGCAAAATTATTCACTTAAATGAGTATAAGAGAGAATGGGAAATGTATCATACCCGGTTTGCAAAGAGATTTTCTTTCTTACTATTCTTAAATAAAGCAAGCTGAAATTCTTCCTGCATTAAAGGTTACATGAATAATTGTTAAAAATGATTTGGAAAGAAATATTTAACTCAAATAACACTCAATATAAATGAATACAAAATGAGAATTCACAAAGCCAACCCCAAGAAATCAGGATAAGGCTAACAATGATTGTGATCAAGTGAATAATTGAATTAAAAGAAATTTGAACAAACATATACTTTAATCATTTGTGCTATATTGTAGAACAGGGTGATAAGATTTAGAATATAAAAAATGGGCTATAATTAAAGGCAAGTATGAATTTCTGACTATAACAAAAGATAACAATGTTAAATATCCAGCAGCCTGTAAGGAAATCATTAGACATAAAATAAATTATTTAAACAAAGTTGTTTTTATGTACGCAAATAAAAAATTCTTCAAAGATAATAAGAAATGTTATTGAAGATGATTTTAACCTGTTAAGTGCTACATTTTTTCTGAATAAAATACCCAAAAAATTATGAATAAGTACAAGAACCCAAACAGCCATATTTTTCCTACAATAATCTTCCACAGCCACATTCAGATTAAATTCATAGCAAATCCTAAACCTATTCCTGGAAATCCTCAACCAACTCCAATTCAAAATTAAAGCCAAAGAATTGACCATCTCAACATTCCAAACGATGCATTGACTAGGTCCTTAATGATCGTGAGCAACGCCATGCAACTAGCCCTCCAAGAATCATCAAAAAGCAGTAATCAGAACAAGGTGCCTTCTTCTGCCGTGCATCTGACTGGATCACAAATTATAGACAAATCAAAGATGAGGAAAAAACAGAGAGGAAAATAAAAACCTTTCTTCTTCTACAAGAAATCAATAACCATCTGCTGCTAAAGGGGTCCTATTTTTTAAAACATCAAGTCAATATCAAGACTCGATTGTGTATTGTGATCAGCCTTAAAGCGTTCCTTTCAGCTTGTAGATTTTACCATTAGACAATCTCATCCTCACACTTACTGGAAGTACCATTCACATTTTAATGATTCAAAAATGGAGAACTTTGGAATGTATTATAACTTTCACCTCTGGAGTAGAGTTTTTTTAGAAATGGAATTAATACCAAATACATACACAGAAAATTAATTTTGATTTCAGTCTTTTTCTATTTTTTGTTCGGGTAAGTTTAGATCATGTTATAAAGTTTAAAATTTATAAGCAAATTAGAAATTAGAAAACAATCTATTAGCAATTAGTAATGAATTTACTAGCAATTTATAGTTCTTTATTATTTATTTTATCCAGAAGTAAGATAATTCAAAGAACGGCAAACAGCTTATGACGTGAATTTAATTTTTATTGTAGACGTACATCTTTCTTTTCTATCTAATTCTAAGATATTGAGCCTCGAGCAACTCAAAGACTTGAAGCCCTTGAAAGAGAACTAATCAACACGTTCAAGTATGAGCCTTGTTAACCTGTTAATTGTTTTCTCAGCCAATTCTCTTTAGTTCTATCCACATTTTTTGTCTTGTTTATCTTCTTTATAATATTTTGTATCTTTTTCATGGTGGTGATGCAAATGTTTGGTCATGGTTGTATAACTTCGGTGGTTTTAAAATGCTGGTCACCAACACTTGGACAAATAGTTTTGCATGTACCCTCTTCTATTTGGATTTAGAACTCCACTTATCCGAGTAATTGAAACCATAATAGGGTCCGTTAAGGCCTCTGGGAACTTTCATGTTGAGATTCTTCCATCCTCCCCTTCATAGTTACTTCAGTATGCTCCGGACACTAAAGCTTTTATAGCCCATTCGTTTGAGTCTGCGCCTTTCTGTGCATGCACTAGTGGAAATCTAGGTGATGAGGACATCGAAGATCAATGGCTACGATCGTGTCTATTTATTTTGATGTATTTTATTTGTTATTTGTACTTTTCCATTTCTACCCTCACTTGAGGGCTTTGTTTTATGTTTGCCCTAGGGGCAATTGTGTCTTTTTTTATTTTCCTTCATGTATTGGCTATTTAAGCCCTCCCCTTCCTCTTGGAAAGGGACTATGATATTTATTGAAGATGATATAGAAATTCAAAGACAAACCACTGAAGAAGCTAATCATATCATTCCTTCTATTGAATAGTTGAAACTTTATGTGCTAGACAATTTATGTTTATGCTTTTGTTGTTGTACTAAACATTTAATGCTTACTTATATTTTGATATTATAAGCTACAAGGCTACAAATGATGTTGTTGTCATTTTTTTTGTAATTTCAAATATTATGTTTTGATTGCTTTCTTAATTTTTATGTATGATTTATAAATTATGATGCCGTGTCCGCGCCGTACCCGTATCATGTATTTTTAAGAATTGACGTGTCCCGTATCCGTATCGTGTCGTATCCGTGTCGCCGTATCCATATCGGTGCAACATAGATGAGAATTAACCTAAGCTAAGTACCACTTAATATTTATCTTATCGTTCAATTCCGCATAAGATCTTACTTATTATTGCCTCTAAATCTAAGCGTGCAAACTTCATTAAGCAAATCACCTTCGCATGGATTTTGTATCACATCACTAGGCCATCTGTAAGATGGCATTCAGAGTTGGCCTTTGCACTTTTCGTAAGTATTACCCTTTCATCTCAAGGAAATTCAGCCTCTGTTTTGAACACCCCCACAGAATAAAGCAACCAAACAAACATGAAATTTAATTGAATTTGGTTTCTAATTAGATTCAAACATGGATATGACGATTATATTCTTTTTCACTTATTTCAGAAGAAAGACAAATGTAATGTAAAAAAAAAAAAGTATTCCAATCAAGCAGACAAAATCAAAGCTCTCCACACAAAAATGTGTCTGCCTTGCGATTGTTTGCAAAAGATGCAGATGATATGGGTCATTTGCCTCTACATAAACAACATTACTGTATGAAAAGATGTCTTCAAAACAAGCGCTATATCAAGTCAGAATCAAGCAAAACCTAGAGGAAAGATGAAATTTTGCAGCAAGACAGCCAGAAACTTCTATACGCTATATGACAAACACATAATTTTATAACTCTTCCACATAAAAGCATACAATAAATAGGCCTAAAAAGGAAAAATTGCAGATCTTGCATAACCCACTCAAGTGACTTACAAACTCATCAAGAAGGAAATAATAAAACACAAATTCATAAGTTTGTTTTATATTTACCTTGTTTATCAACCCATCATCAACCACAGAGCGACTGATGCTCTTAAACAGCTCAAAAAGTGCCTCCACTTCACTAACACTAACTGCAAATTTAAGTTATGATCACTATCAGCAAAGCCACAAACCGAAGGATTACAAGATTAATCATAAAGAAGATGGTAATTTTTTAATACTGTAAGTTGATATTTAATTTTCCTTTATAAATCATATCCAATACTAAAACAGAAATGCAAAAAATTGCATGGCCAATAGTGGGATCGAAAACAGCTAATCTGTAACTTTCTAAAAGGGCATTCCAAAAAGAAAACATCATTGCCTCAGTAATATGCCAGGTTCCCATAGCATAGAATATGTACTAGGTGCTTCACAAATATCAACTCATACAAATTCCATTCTAAAATTCAACATTTTCAGACTCTACCCGCCTCTAGCCTGGTTTGTTGAGAGCTTTGGCCCCAATCACAACGTATAGGGTGTGTTTGTGCTTCAGCATTCCAAAAAAAATCAATCGTTTACAATGACCCTAGTCGCAAGTTCTGCAAAACAAAAGGTTACTCAATCTCTTCATATGCAAGCTTAAAATCATCATTTGAATTATAAGCCTCAATCCTAACCTTACAGGAACACCCACAAAAAAAAAAAACTAATAGAAAAGCAAATAAAACTAAAGGATGCTGCATGCCTGCATTAGGCCGGAACCTTAAACGCTGAAGCATCACATTATTCAGCCGGAATTTGGTCTTCTGACAAACTAGTACAAAAACTAGCAAAACTAGGAATTATTTTTTTGACTTCATAGTCTATGCAATTTTTCTAATCTAATTATCAATGCAATGCCTGTATATTGCCTACTAAACTCAAGCCAGGATATGAGGCCCACTTGGCAATCTGTATAGACGAGGGGGAGCCCAGGCCTGTCGGGCATGACCTATCTAGAACATCAATAATTAAAGACAGCCAATTCAAGGGTCATATCAATCATGCCAAACAGAAACATTAAATCAGGTTCTTACTGCAAAAAACTAAACGAGTTTATTCATCAGACTATATCTCTAAGAATCATTACCGAAAGAAAAAAAAATTAAAGAAAAGAGGCTAGAGCAAGAAACTTAGACGCCTACTTCCCTGTTCCAGTCAAAGAATATTGATCTTCTCATCAACCAAATCAACAAATCCAACCTTGTTACCAGGACCCACTAAGCTGTTTGTAAGATTTGTACAAATTTCCGCACAAGGAGTTGTCAAATATATATGTAAAATGGGAAGTTGCTAAGGAACAACATTAAGATTTAAAAATAAAAAGGCCTAAAAAGAAAACATCACTTGATTCTTCTCATAGTTTAAACAAGACCGCCACACAAATTATGATCTCCATTTGACTTGATCTCTTGATAAAATTTGAAATGCTTAGGAATCAGTTAAAACTGAAGCTCACTTATGACTAGATAACTGAAAAACAAAGATGAGCTACAACATTGAGCCTTCTCAAACTTTACTAAAAGCCTGACGCATTATAATGATTCTTAAAGTTACCTGATCATAATTATGATTTACAAGCTGCACCCCAAATATCAAGCTGTTAATTGCAATTTATCAAAACGAAAAGATTACATTTAAGGTCTTAGAGTTATTACATTCAAGTCAAGCCTTAATGTATGATTCATACATCGAACTTTGTTGAGGAATAGAAATAAGCAGTATTCAAACCAGAAAAATTACCTCCTTTAAAAAGTCCAATTGCAACAAAAAAAGAAGCATTTGCAACTCCCTGAAATTCAAATTCAACAAAATACTAAACTATCAATACCTAAAAAAGGAAACATCACAGTAATTCATCTTCCTAACATCTGTGTTAGATAATATGCTATAAATTCGAAGCCAAGTGAACTTCCAGTCAAGAACTTCACTAAGCTTGAGCGCAGCACTTGTTTATCAGAAGTATCCACATCAAGCTTCCAAAAATGTTCGTTTTGAATGCACGAAAACAAAGTCTCAATACGGTTGCAGTCCTGTGTAGTGACTACCATATGAAAACCATAGCACAATAAAAAACAATAACAAGCAAACAAATATAATAATCCTATTTGAATGGTACAAATAATTCATGAATTATAATAAATGTTAGAGAAAATGGAGGCAATAATAAGCATTTTCCCGTGAATAACTCTAATTTTAAGGACATGTCTTTTCAGATTTAGTACTACCTTTACAAAAAAAAATTAGTTTAGTTTAGCAAACAAAACTATTTGTTCCAACAAACATAAAAGCCGCCATGGCACCAAACCCTACAAAAAGTAGGGCACGATTTCTGCTCTTAAATTCACCTGTGTATGAAAGAAATAACAATTTGCAAAATCCACTTGTCAGAAAGCAAACAATAAAAACAAAATAAATCATCTAAATTTAAAAATTAATAAATAAAAAAAAACAATCGGAGAATTACATGACGTCTGTGAGGCGAGGAGAACGGGGTCCTCATAACCGGGGAACTGCCTTCTAGACTTCGAGTGAAAGCAGCCCATTTAAGTCCGCAATCCGCCAAAACCACGCCCTAGTCTCCCAAATCACAAGCCAACCCCACCATCTCCATCTATAAATCACAAGCAGACAAGCAGTCACAAGCCCGCACTCATCCTCAATAGCAAAAATCACTCTGGTCATTAATACTATCAGGAGATCAGGAGAATCCGACGAACAAACAATATTGGGGACCGAGCAATTAAAATAAAGGAATTAAAAATTCTGATCGAAATTGTAGATCAATTAAACGATTAGAGAACCATCAATCAAAAGCCCTAACCTGCGCGGGAAAGAGAGAGAGCAAAATGGAACCCGCCGGACGGAATCCACACGGAACTCGCCGAGGAAGGCCGCGGACGCGAAGCAATACTATATATCTAAAGGTGGAAGAAGGCTGCGACAAGAAAGGAGGGCAGTATCAACGGCCAAGATCGGCACGGCGAAGGGCGAAGCGAACGGCGGTGCCGTGATGCGGTTTTCTCGGTCACCGAGAGCGCGGAACGAAATAAACTCCACCTCTCCGACGCTGCCACGTAGGCTTTTAAAGATTCTTCTGTTCAACTGAGCTCAGGGAACAAATAAGCGGTTCTTTGTTTTATAAAGCTTCGTAGCACCTGCGTTTATGAACCCTATGCGGTCGATAGAATTGAAAACAAGAACTGGCGAATTTAAAATTAAAAATATTTTTGACCAACCGAATAAAATGAATCTTACATCATCATCATATTCAGAAAATAATTTAAATTGTTATTCTTAACATTGATTTATTTTTAACCATTACTATAACATATGTAAAATAAATAGAAATATTAATTTAAAGATTAAAATCTTGTTTGAAATTTTCTTTTAATATTAAAAATGGCTTTTTGCATTTAAAAAACAAATTAGTTTAGACCAAAAAACAAAAAAAAGATTGTTTTAAGTTTTTTTTTTTTTTAATAATATTTGCTTTCATTCCTCACCCCTGATTCTATCATAATGCTCACCCCTCAATGATACAAGTGCATAAGCTATTTTTGTTGGTGTAATCGACAATGGAGGAATATGAGATGTAAAAGCTCAAATTCTTAGCTATCGAGATATTGTTTGTTTTGGTCTAAGGGCCTCATTATTTGTCAAGTTGGTATAACTTCCTAGGAGGTCGCCCATCTCATGATTTCTTCAGGATGAGCATGCTTAACTGCGGAGTTTCTCAATGAAATTCTAACAATTATAACTGTGATGATAGTGGCTGGCGATAGTTTTAGCTATCGAATGTAAAGTAGAACTATATAGTTTTTTTCATTACTCCAAGCTCACTCTAAAGTCAAGTTTGGGACCCTTTTATAAAGAGAATAAGAGTTCATTTATAGTACTTTGGCAATGTTATTTTGATAAATTTGATCAAATTTTCATTGCAATCTATCAGACATCTCATATTGAACTATTTGATCATAAATGATTCAATTATCATTTAAAAGTTAAAATGGCATTAGAATTTAGTGATTATAGGCTTGTTGGGTTCATTTTGCTAAGCCACTCAATTTGATTATTAGCATGTAAAATTTGGTGATTGTTTGATCATTCAATCAATACTATAAACTTAAAAAAAAATATAATAATAATCAAGAGCATGTTATTCCCGTTAGTTGGAGAAGATATAATTTCAAAGTATTTTAACACAAGTTTGTAATTTTGTAAATGTGAGAGAATGCAAGTGAATCATTACTTGGATGGTATTAGTATGTTGACATTAGTTGGACGACAATTATAGTTAAGAGATGTTGGTCGGGAGATGTCTGTTTGGTGATAGTAGTTGAACGATAACAATCAGATATTGACAGTCAGATAATGACGGTCGAACAATGGTAGTTAGGTGACAACTAACAAACAATATAGTTTGGCGATGATGATCTAATAACTGTATTTAAGTGTTGTTGTTAGCTAGTTGTGTACATTAATGTCGAAAGTCAAGTAAACACTAGAGTCCTGGTCTCAAAGCTCCATCTGAATTTAAAACTAGGTCTTCTTCTTATAAAGAATGATGGTCTATATATAATACTTGTAGAGTGAGCATTTTGAAAATTTAGCTAAAATTTCATTACTCTCTAGAACATGTCTCATATCAAATCATATGATCATAAACTTTTTTTTTCATCAAATTTTTATAAATTTATCTTAAACTATTTATTTAACATTTAAGTAATTAAAAGCTCTAAGACTCAAATCTTATACTCGTTGGATTCGCCTCATCGATTTTTTTTTTTTTTTTTGGCTATAAGCATGCAAGAACCAGAAACCATTTGGTCTTTTGATTAGTGCCTCATAAAATTTTAATAATTATATTTCAAGTGTTTGATTTAGGCTTAGTTGTACTTGTTGCGTCCAGGAGTATTCGCGGCGGTAGAGAAATATCGTGCCCGATCAAGATAATTTTGTGATGACGTATCAGTACTCAATCAAATCACCTTTGTTGCTTTCTATTGGATTTTGTTTCATCAATGAACTCAATTTCACTATAAATTTCAAAATTGGTTAAAGTTGCTCTTCTAATGATTTTAAATTTAATTCTAAAATTTTGTAAATATTACATCAATTTTAAGATAATCACATACACATATTATATATATATATATATATATATATATATATATATATATA